ATTTGGCTGATAAAGGAATTTGAATTGTTTAGTAATAATCTTGAAAGTCAATATTTTTGTTCTATTTTCTTGAGATAAAATATATAAACATTGTGTATTCTCCAATGTCATGATGTACTACTATGTGAACTGAGGCATCCTAGATAAGAAGTGAACAGACATGAAAGGTAGAGACAAGAGTTAAATTATTTTCTTGCTGTATTGTTTGTGAAATTGAACAGATTTCTTGTCAACAAATGCCCTTGATTGTGTGCCATCCTAATTTTCTTGTCAGTTCAAAACTCCTGCTCATATCTGATTTCTTTGTTGGCTCTTACTCTCCCTCTGCCATATTTGTACTTTTAGTTATGTGGTTAAATAATTAGCTTCATTCATCTCTCTGCTTTTAATTAAACAGTCATGATGCAAATGCAGTCATCATATTCAAATTGTCTTATATTAAGACCTTGTACCTTGTATACCACAGTGTCATAATCTGTTCAAAGAATAGGGAAGAATTGCAAGTAGTCAAGTTTTTTCTTGCCTTACAAAAATGTTTCTTCTGTGCAGAGAGATTACATGAACTTAGTATCCTGGCTCATATCATTCCTGTTCTTTTATTGTCTACACTATCATAAAACTTGATAAAGTTCTTATCATTTACTGTTTCTTTGATTATTTTTCATGCAGTATTGATTCTTATGATGGGTTGGAATTTTCCAGAATAAAATAAGGTGCCAGTGCCCAACGGCACAACATGTTACCTGAAACATAGTTAGTTAATTGTTGTTAATATTGTTTTTAATATGTACAGAGTGATGATACATTCAGATGTTTGTTGTTTTTGTTACTACAGCTACATAGTAATATCATGATTTTTTTCTCTGTGAGGGCGATTAAGACTTCAAGTGCTCTCCCTTGTTTATTATGTTTGATGAATTGACTTGGTATACATTTCAGATAAATTTTCTTAGCCTCATTCGAACCAGAGCTTTGCAAAATCGCCTATTCGACTGACTGTGCTCCGGTCGGACTTGGTCGGTTGAATAGGTGATTTTGCAGTGCTCTGATTCGAACTGAAACCAAACAATCGAATCGTGATAGAAGCCCTGAGCTTTTTGTTTTCTTTATCGCTTTTGTTTAACCTGAAGCAACCTCCACGAAAACTTGACCAGACGTCGATTTGCGAATCATAGGAGTTTAAATAGTTGTCAAATCAATGTCAATTCTGCATCTGCGTCAAAGGGTTCTCACAGGGCAGATGTTAACCGAGTGACTTTTTTCATGCTATCTTGTTGCATAGCCATAGATTGATCCAACTCTTGTGGGAAAATCGATTTGCAGTCATTGATGGATTGAAAATGTTATATTGACCACCAAAATTTGTTAATGTTTGTTGTGTATGTGTGTGTAAATATTTTCTCTTTGTATATGCCTGTACATGAGGTTACAGGAATTGCCTAAGGCAGGTAATTCAAGCTCAAAGTTCTGAAAGCTCTATGAAAGTTGAAGAGCTTAATGTGTGTTCCTTTTTGAAAACAGATGATTTATATTGTACATAGTGATATGTGTATAAAAGTGTTTTATTCATAGATGAAATAAAAATTTATGAATTTTTTAAATGAGGATTTCTTTTGTTTGCCTATGCATTAATAGGTCAGTGCATAATATCTGTAGCTGAATTCATTCTCACGAGTTCTTCGCTGAATCCTCCTTGAGAGAGAACAGTTCAGTGTAAGAAGTTGACTTAGTAAATCAAGGATGGATAAATAGGCAGTCATATGTCAAAGATATTTAATAATATTGATGCTCCAAGATGATTGTAATATAAAGAGCTGTACAATAGAGTTTTAACAGGAAGGACAATGGGTGGAATTATCATGAACCATAAATAGTAAATGAGGTGTAATCTGTATGGAACATGATACAACTGACCAAAATACACCAAAAAGCGAGAACTGCAAAAGCAAGACAGTAAATGTGTCTTGAGACAAAACATCATATTCAGAAGTATGAAGAGAAAAACATAGTAGTATTCCTCCAAAATTACAAAACACACTTGGACCTCAATGACAATTGCAATCCACCATAAAAATTCTCCACATAAAAAGGTTTCCAGAATGGCCAGTATACAATATCAAGAAGCTTTAGTCAATGATTGTGATTTCCTCCTTAATGAAAAATTCAATAACTTCCTCATCTACATTCTTGGTGTCGTTTTCTATCTCATCAGTGTCTACATCTGCAAAAGAAGTTTAGAAGTGTAAATCATGAAATAGTTAAATAAAAGTTTACAATCACAATATGAAATTGAGACACTTACTATTTCTTAATTGAAGGCGTCGTGGTTTCTGTTCCAACCACTTCTCTCGGCATTTTTCACGGTATGAATTGAATTCTTCAAACAGCTTGCGCCGTTTCTCCACCAATTCCTGAAAAACCAATTGTTAAAAATTCGGACAGTTCAAAACAAGAAACAGAAAAAAAAACATGAAAATAGTAGAGACAGACCTTAGAAGCTCTAGATGAGCGCATACGATCTTTACTCTCAAATTGAGCAGAATACTTCTTGAGGTTCTTCCTGATTTCCTTTTGCTCTTTAACAGACAGCAGGGATGGTGGACGAGGTCGCCAAAGCAGTTGACAGAAGGCTCCAGAGTTGAAGCGTCTCAAAATCTTCCCTTGGAAGGACCACACTGAATATCCAGTATCAACCTTGGCCTTCCAAAATGAGCAAACAGTAACAACATATCGACCAGTGGGATCCCATTCAACATCAGAAGCTTGGAAATGTTCTTGTTGAGTCATGACATTAAAGTCATTCGTATCAACAAACTCTAAGACTCCACTGGATGAGCGTAAATCAGCCAAAACAATGTACTGGCCAGTGGGAGACCAAAATAGATGATTGCAGCATTTCTTCTCCAACTTTTCTGTGAAGTTTAGGACAGAGATAATTAGTTAATGTCATTGTATAATAATTTAAAACAGAAGTACATGTCCTTAACACTTACTAAGAAGGGCAGGTGTCTGTCCAGTTTTAACACCATAGAAAGATACACAAATGTTGGGCTGATCACCGTGAATGATGGCAAATTTGGAACCGACAGGCTCCCATGCAAAAGCATGAATAGATTCTTTGACTTCCACACTGTCAACGGGAATTTGCTTCTCTTGCATGTGGAAGATTTCAAAGTTGAAGTACATACCCTATGATGATTTGAAAAAGAAGCTATTACAATAAAATAATAAAACTGAGATATAAAATAACATGAAAATCCTGTTAAACTTACACTGTACTTGATTTCATTCTTATCTTTACGAATCTTGCTGTACCTATCAACTTTGACACACAGATAATCTCCAGACTTTTGCCAATGCATCCGACAATCTGCTACATTGAATAAGTTCTTGGAACGGATCTCATTGCGGCTGAGTACAATCAAATACATTTATTAGGATAAGGAAGAAAAGAAACTTCACAGCAGATTAATTTATGATATAGACCTTGGAATTTCAATGAGTGTTACTCTGGCTGGGACATCTTTGTCTTCTGCCATCCAATAGGCAAGAATGTTGTCAACAGGAGACCAGCTGAAATCTCGAATGCCAGGGATTTTGAAACTTTTCTTATTAAGCAGACCAAATGACTAGAAGAAAAACAGGAGAAAAACAAGTAAATACACTTGTTACAATAAAAAAACAGTATTCCACAATTTGCACATACTTACAGGTGTTTCATACACACTCAGCATATCCTCATCGCTTCTAGCAAAGTATTTGTCATCATGAGACCACCGAATGAATGGCCACATCATTTGACTATTCAAATAGAAGGATCTTTTCTCCTGACCAGTGCGAATATCCCATATGATGAGGTTCTTAGGTTCGCCTTGGCCTTCAAAGGTGGGTGAATATGTCACAACATACCTAAACAAATAAATTTATGAGATAATAGAGGTCAAGGAGAAAATCAGGAACCTTAGAAATAAGATCAGAAAACTTGTCAATACTGTATGGAATAAACCACAGTTTTGGTTTTAAAATAAAATTTGATATTCAAATCTGAAAAAACTTAAAAAATTATGAGGTTTGTCAAATACAGTCAATTCTCGTTAGTGCGACTCAGCGGGCAACAGGGGACCAAATCGTTATAACGGGGAAATCGTAGTAGCGGATTTCCCCGTTATAACGATTTTACCGTTTTTTTGGTGAAAAATCGTTGTATCCGGGAAAACCGACAATTTAGCAGAGTTTTAGTACGTGTAAGCTACCATAAGCTATTAAACAGTGCCTTATAAATTTATTACACTAAGCATACCCCGAATTTCCATAGAAAAGTTAGCCCTTGTGATGTTTCAAAATAAGTGACTTCTTTACCAAATCTTAAATTTAGGTCATGTTATTACTTGACAGTATGTTGGCTGTTACATTACTCTATTGTACAATATTCTATTGTAAATTTTGAACTGTTTGTACCGGGTGTTGCATAAAAGACACAGGTGCGGGCGGGCGTGCCTACCCGCTCTGCCCGTAAGGCGCCATAGCCCCTTGGGTAGGCAAACCCGCCCGCACCTGTGTCTTTTATGCAACACCCGGTACAGTAAAAATATTTTACACTTTGATTCAATGGCTTATATTCTAACCCAATATCATGTACTACGGTTCCTTTGTACAACTATGTATTTGGCACTGTTTATCCAGGTTCGAGCGACCCGTTTTAGCCCATAAGTCGGGCGAGTTTGCACTAAAAATCGTTCAATCCGGTAAAAATTTTCGTTAGGGACGCCCCAAACCCGTCGTTCTAAGGGGTTTTTCGTTATAAACGGGATTCGCTATACACGGGATTTTTAGCATACAAAAGCATGCAAATGACATGGGACAACGGAAAAAAATCGTTATAACGGGGTAATCGTTGTATCCGGGCGTCGCACTAACGAGAATTGACTGTAGTCATAAGAGAAAACAAAGCTACTAACATTTTCAAAACATCAAGGGAGTGGTAAAACTGAGTAGGAATTGAAATGCCACCTCAATCAGAAAAGATTAAGCCAATAAATCATCAGATAGATGTCTGGGTGATCATCTTCATCACAACGAGAAAGGCAGATATACAATAATATGTACTAAAAGTTACCAAAATGCTATCAACGGATCGTCAGAAAAGATTAAGCCATTAACATCAACATTTCTTGGTCTGTATGATATACAGTATCTACATCACATGAAGACCAAATTAGGAAAACACATTGCTATGCAGTCTCATTCAGAAAAGATTAAGCCATTTTATCACCAATTTTAGTTCTGTGATATTTGTTTCATCATGTAGAGACAGGTTCAGGAAACAGAAAATATGTGCCTCATTTGTCAGAAAAGATTAAGCCAATAAAATCACCAGCAAATACTCTGTACTGTCAGTTTCATCATTTCTCAAGAAAGGCAGCAATAACATTCAAATATGTTTACAGTACTAGAATGCCATCTAAATCAGAAAAGATTAAGCCATAGAATCACCAGTTTTATTTCTGTGTGATCGTTCTCATCACCTTAAGAGGCAGAACTAAACATGAAGAGAGGTGGTTAATGTGCCACCATGATCAGAAAAGATTAAGCCATTGAATCACCAGCTTTAATTCTGTGTGATCTTATATGTCACTTGGAGAAGAGCAAGACAAAATATGGAGACACCTATGGAGTTTATTCGCCACTGTAGTCAGAAAAGATTAAGCCATAAAATCAACAGTAAATAATCTGTGATATCTTTTTCATCATTTTAAAATTAGGGGGAAATACAAGTATAGCAATATTAAATACCATCTCGGCCAGAAAAGATTAAGCCCATTGAATCACCAGCTTCAATTATGTGTGATCTTGATAATCACTTAAAAAAAGGCATGGCAAAATATGGAGAAAGTAGTTTACGTGCCAAAATAGTCAGAAAAGATTAAGCCAATAAATCAACAGAAAATAGTCTGTGCTGTCTTTTTCATCATTTTGTAATAAAAAGGGCAAAATACAAGAAAGATATAAAAATATTCAATGCCACCTCTGTCAGAAAAGATTAAGCCATTAAATCACCAGCTTTAATTCTGTGAGATCTTTTTCATCACATGAGGGCAAAATACAAGAAAGATATAAAAATATTCAATGCCATCTCTGTCAGAAAAGATTAAGCCATTAAATCACCAGCTTTAATTCTGTGAGATCTTTTTCATCACATGGAGAAGAGCAAGACAAAATATCAAGATAAGTAGTTTATGTGCCACAATAGTCAGAAAAGATTAAGCCAATAAATCAACAGAAAGTAGTCTGAGCTGTCTTTTTCATCATATTATAAAAAGTGAGAAAGTCAAAATAGATTTAAAATTATTCAATACCATCTCGATCAGAAAAGATTAAGCCATTGAATCACCAGTTTAAGTTCTGTGATATCTTTTTCATCACAGTGAGACGGGCAAGACAAAACAAAGATAGGAGTTAACAAGCAGCCTAGGTCAAAGAGACAGATAATTTTAAAAGATTGCTTTGGAACAAAGGAAGTTCCTCTTACTTTTGAAGAACAAGGTGTTAAAAGGTAAATCAAAACAACACTTACTTTTCACTAGGTGAGAAGTCAATGAACTGAACACCCTGGTGGGCAAATCTCATTTTCCGGGCAAAATCAGGTCCTCCCCACAAGGCAACACCTGCACCATGGATGGTAGTAAAGTACGTACCTAGAGGGGACCATTTTACAAATGTTTCTGTCCACCTCTGTAAAATGTGAAGTAAACGAAGAATAAGTACGGATAGGAGTTCAAAAACCCAAAAAGTAAACAGGGTAATTGTATGAAAATTAGCACCTCTTTTTCAACAAGCTTAGATGGTTCGGGAACAGAGTTCAGCCAGATTTGGACTGTGCTTCCACGGTTGCAAACTGTGCTGAATTGGTCGTAGGAATCAGGCTCCAATAAGAAATAGTGCAGATTGCCCATGTCAGTGTAAGGCTGAGGTGCTGGAGGTTCCCATTCATCAGGAATGTCTTCATACCTGAAAGTAAAAATGTAGGTTTACATAAATGTGAATTAATAAAACGAAAAGGGAGACAGAACAAAACATGATGCATCACAGGTCAACGAAGACCCACTGGTAGCTTACTTTTTGAAGTCAGTGAACAAATTCACAGTGAAAGTGTGCTGCCTATCAAGTTTGTGGTTGTTTAACAATGTTACTGCCTCAGCAGCATGAGCAGCGTTGGCATACTCAATGAAGACATACCTGGAGGGGGGGAAATTGAATTTAAGTATGTGGAGGTAAAAAGAACATAGATTGAAATTGGAAAGAGGACTTACCCCTTTGTACTCCCTTCTGGAGTCTTAGGATAGCACTCGTTGACAATTTCTCCCACCTTCGAGAAAATTTTGCTGACCACATTACGAAGTTTATCAAAACGATCTGCTGTAATTTGTGGAATACCATCAACAACAATAACAGATTCAACACCATCTGTTTCTTGAGGTCTGGTTTTGAGGATATCTCCTAACAATTCTGCAAGAAAGGAATACAAAATTTTCAAAATGAAAATTGACATAGGCAAACATGAAAACAGAATGTCTTGTCTCATCAGAAGAGAGACTAGGGCAGAAACCAAAACTAAGTTCATTGCAAAAATTCCTGAAATGGTTTTGACAACTGCCACCGAGGCACTAGAGGATACACATTTATTGAGAGGGCATTGAAATTATAAAACAAAAAAGGCTGTAACTTCCTTACATCTCATCCGAAAAAATCGAGGGAACTGCTCTCCATGTGAAAACTAAGATTGCCGAAGAAAGAGTATAGGCACTTGAGTGCATGAAGATCAGAAAGTGGCCAGTAGGGATAACCTCTGGTCTCCCACTCATACAAGCTACACAGTAGCAAAACGAGTCAAACTTCTAGACACATAAGAAGGAAGATATCGGATACTAGGAAAGAGCAGCACACAACAGACTTTCCTGCTGGAATCAGCACACCGGTCAACAGCCTGGTGATGTGATGACATCACACTTGAAGTTAGGTTAAATTTCCAAAACTTCAAGAAGTCCACCCAATAATACAGAAATAATTATATCTCACACACAAGATCAAAGAAAGGACTAATAGGAGCAGAATATCGAAGTAGAGCTACCACTTAGATAACAATTTGTAAATGAATCTTTGGAATGACCCAGGGCCATATGCTGTCCCAATAACAAGCACCACAAATTAGCCGGGCAGGACACTAACCTTCATCAGAAATATTGTCTACATAATCCTCAGGGTCACTGAAGTTGGGTTCCTCGTCTTCAGCCATTTCAGATTTATCTTGCTTGCTATTTTCGTCATTTGGAGTCGCCTTTTCGGCGTCCTTCTTCTTGGCCATCTTGGAAACCTCGTGGAGAAATATGGCTGCCGTCAGCGGTCGGAAAAGATATGTCGCTAACGTTGTGAATTTTGTTACAAGGCGCAAATGGTTTCGCCAACACCGCATCAATTATTTCCCACTGTTGTGCTTTCAATTTTCAAGAAAACATTTGTCGTTATTTTCATTTTCATCAATAGGCAGAGATTTGTTAATACCGCATCAACCGACAATACAATATGACGCGTTAAAACAATCGTCGAAAAGGAAACAATATGTGTTCTAAAATACATTGCCGTTGTAAGTGTCAAGTGTGGCACACACACACACCACACACACATTTGGCGCAAAATTTTGGGCTAGTTCTCGTGCTGCCGCTTTGTAGTTCGTTAGTAGTTTCGTTGGACAAGGTGGATCATATAGACTTATCTAATTTTATCATTTTATCACTTCTGCGATCATGCCTGGAGAATCTGCGTGTGTGTTGAAATTCGTCAAGACAACGGTTAACGCGTTTTCGCCTGTCAAGGGGTCGGCCAAAGCTGCGGGCTTCGACTTACGAAGGTTAGGCAGAGTTCCGAATGATGTATACTTTTTCTTTCATCTAGTACTGTTGCTTATGACATTGACTGATTCTTGTTTGCAGTGCTTATGATTATGAAATTCCTGCACGCGGTAAAGAACTCGTTAAAACAGATCTCCAAATCCAACTCCCAGCAGGTTGCTATGGTAGAGTAGCCCCTCGCTCAGGCCTAGCTTGGAAAAATCATATTGATGTCGGAGGTATTTCGGATTTCAAAGATATCGGATATAGTTAGTGAATCCATGTTCCTTTAATCTAATGCATTAAACTACTTCCAGCTGGTGTTATAGATGAAGATTATCGTGGGAATGTTGGAGTAGTGATGTTCAACCATGCCGAAACTGTATTTAAAGTGAACAAAGGGGACAGGATTGCTCAACTAATATGTGAAAGAATATTCTACCCAGAGTTGGAAGAGTGCAAGGTAAAGAACTTTCCATTTCATATCTATGGCTCTAATTTTTGTTTTACCCCGAACAGATTTTCATTGATACTGTCATCTTCATTCCAGGAACTTAGTGACACTGAGCGAGGGGAAGGTGGCTTTGGATCCACCGGGAAAAATTAGCCAGCCCTTTACTCTTTTCCTATGTATGCTCTACACCAATCGATCAGCTTTCAACTCCCCCTCAATCCTCGGGCTTTTAACCTTTTTTTAAAACTCTAGTTTTAACTGCAATGTGATTTTACTTCCTAGAACAATTTAAATTTATTTTTAACTTTTTTTTATCAATTACCTTACCTTAAAATAAAGCTCTTTTAAATAATGTATTCCTCTTTGGTTTTTCTCTTCCACAACCTCTTCAATGTGAGCAACAAATTTTAGCTGTGCTTCTACTACAGTACCATACATCATACAGTACATCATAACAATATGAATGATAGACGAACGTGGAAATCAGAGACAAGTGTCAGGGAAAGTTACTGTAAGATTCCCAGTTCAGTTGAACATGTGTTCCATGTTCCTCAAAATAATATCAATTCTGTATCTATTAGTATTTTTTACGCAGGTACTAAACACTCACTCCCTCATTTTAAGATTATAGTTTGACAGAGTGAAGTGAATTATTTGACTTGCTAGCTTTTGTCGCAACCTCTTTAAAACATGTAATATTTCCTCAAGTCAAACCAAAATTTCTTCTTCTGGGAGTATAATGATGGCAGAATTTATTATTAATTTATTCTGTCCACTTGAAGATGAATGTCATCCACAAACAGACGAGTGTGGAAAAAGTCAATGCCCAAATAATTTCATTTCAACATGTAATTTGCCTGAGTTTTACCGTGTTCTTTTGATTAGGCCCGTTAGAGGTCCGGGGGGGGGGGGGGGGGCCTCAGAGGGCTCAGCCACCCGGGACCTTGCTTCTTTTCCAGGGCCGCCTTTTCTCAAGTGAGAAAACAAGGAGAAAAGAATCGAACCTCTTCTGACATTTGAACTCAGGCCCTCTTCGCGCGTGATTGCACGGTGCATCCTGGGTAAACACCAACACCAATGGGGAGGTTCGCGAAAACGAACCGAGCCGACTTCGCTCCGCTACCCTACCGCACTTCGCACACACCTCTCGCTTTAGTTCAGAAAGGAAGTCACTCTCCGAAGAAGGCTGTGATCTTTCCCTGTAAAGATGGCCGCCCAGATCGTGAAAAGAGCTGTAAGTTCGTTTTAAAAAAATCTTTTATCTGAACTTCTGTCCTTATTTGGCATGTGTGCATGGCTCAGTTCGTCAGATTTACGCCGAATTGTGTTTTGCGTTATGTTGTCAAAGCCTAAAAACATGTTCTCATTGTGTATTGAGCCACCTCTCTGCTACGGTCGTTCCTTTTTGACCCACGATTCGGTCATTCAACATTTTTGGTTTTTATTTGCTAACGTTGCTTTGAACATGCATGAAAAATGTGTTTGCGTATTCCTTTATACTTTATTTATGTATTTTTTTGCTTTTAAGTCCTAGTGGACCCTAATATGTTCAACCTCAAGTACTTAATAGCCACTACCTGCTCATACCTCATCACATGTAGAGTAGCCCATCCAACCAATTTTTTTCCCTTTTTAACATTGTACATTGTACAGTGAAGACTGTGCTCCATAAATGTATAGCTGGGGAGTCATTTAAAGCAATAGGGTAGTAGGTTTTTTTAATAATCGTTTGGCTACCTTTCTGTAAGCCGTAACTATTTATATCTAACATTTTGGGAATAGTCTTTAAACAGGAGCACCATAAGTGACTGGATTAAAGGCTTGCTTTCACGATTGAAAAATGATGGTGGCCAAGGGCCTTCTTTTCAATCCAGAACCTTCGAAGTAGATGAGGTATGTGATGCACTGCTACACAAATGCTAGGAAACTCTGAAACCTTGTTTCCATTTATTATAATTCGTATTCAAAACTATACTTTCTCTCCTTGGTCATTTTAATTGACTTTCTTGCATTTTTGTGTTTTATTGTTTGTAGTTCTAAGTTGGTTTTTAGCAACCTTTAACACACTATAGCTACCATTTAACATCAAGTAATATTTTTCAACCTAAAGGAATAGAATATATTTCTTTTTCAGTGTTGTATTAATTGGGTTCCTGTTTATTTCAGCTGTCCGCCGCTCAGCCTTTGAAGAGGCATTACAGTAGTGGTACAAGAACGTGTACCCTTATTCCTGGAGATGGCATTGGACCAGAAATTTCTGCTGCTGTGCAGAAGATATTCCAGGCAGCAAATGTAAGATTAACTCTTACCTGCTACCCTTAAACCTCTTTTGGTTTCTGTGGATACTGATTTATATTTTATGATGTTCAGGTTCCAATTGAATGGGAAGTTGTCGATGTAACTCCAGTCCGTGGACCAGATGGACTCTTCAACATCCCTCAAGCTGCCATTGATTCAGTGAACAAAAACAAAATTGGGCTCAAGGGCCCTCTTATGACTCCTGTTGGAAAAGGCCATCGGTCTCTCAATCTTGCTTTGCGAAAGTAAGTCTAAACCACTTTTCCACAAAGTTGTTGGCTTTATTGCCTGTTTACATCACATCTTCAATTTTCAATCTCCTCTTTTCTCAGGGAGTTCAACCTATATGCCAATGTAAGGCCCTGCCGATCTTTGGAGGGTTATCAAACATTATATGATAATGTTGATGTTGTAACAATCAGAGAGAATACCGAGGGAGAGTACTCTGGTATTGAACATGAAATTGTTGATGGTGTTGTGCAAAGTATCAAGCTCATCACCGAAGAGGCCTCTGCGCGAGTAGCTGAGTATGCATTTGCCTATGCCAAGGATAATGGCCGTCAAAAAGTTACCGCTGTTCACAAAGCCAATATTATGTAAGTTTACTTTGCTGTTACTTGGGAATGAAAAATGGCAATTTCAAAATGAAATGCATTGTTATCTTATTTCAGGCGCATGTCAGATGGTCTCTTCTTGCGTTGTTGCCGGGACGCTGCTGAGAAGCACCCTGACATCAAGTTTGAGGAAAAGTATCTAGATACTGTCTGTCTTAACATGGTCCAGGATCCCAGTAAATATGATGTACTGGTCATGCCCAACCTGTATGGTGACATCTTGTCAGATATGTGTGCTGGACTTGTCGGTGGCTTGGGACTTACACCCTCAGGCAATATGGGCTTGAATGGAGCCTTGTTTGAATCTGTAAGTATTTATTACAGTAGTTTATTTTTAAAACAATCAGATTTTGTTCATCAAGGTTAATTGCGTATTTTAACCCTAAATTTCTTTTTAGGTGCACGGTACCGCTCCAGACATTGCTGGCAAGGACTTGGCAAACCCTACTGCGTTACTTCTGTCAGCTGTCATGATGTTGCGTCACATGGAGCTGAACGCTCAGGCAGATAAAATTGAAAAAGCTGCCTTTGATACCATTAAGGAAGGAAAGTACCGTACTGGTGACTTGGGTGGCAAAGCCAAATGCTCAGAGTTCACTAATGAAATCTGTAGCAAAATTCAAGCATCATGAACAATTAGACTGTAATTCTAACTCTCCCAAACATTTGTAGGAATCAATAATTTATGCCTTTGACTCAAGTGTATGGTATTATTTCAATGCTGTCAGGCTGTGAAGATCTTTGGCGAAAGGGAGGTCTTTTCTATGACCCCTTGTCTAGCTTTATTCTTGTTTTGTTCAGAAAATGAGTGCAATGAGTACCTCTCAAATTGACTTCATAGTGGTGAGCAGTATTACTTCTAGGCAATCATCTGATTTGAATTTGTAATAAAATAAATTTATGTACAGTCAGTATTAGATTTGCACTCAATGTTAACTTTTTCAGTTAGTATCAAGAGGAAGCTCATTTCAGAGTTAATGTCTAAGTCTTAAATTTTTATTATTTATTTATAGTAATGAAGTGGGAGTAATCTACCAAATGACAGTCTCACTCTTGAGATATGAGGAAACTCGCTACATACCTTTAGTATTATGTTGTCTTGTGTTAAATGTGTTGGAAGACAATAATTGAAGCTACTGATTGCAGACATTTTTACATCAACCTAATGAGTTTGGCCCCTTACGTGATGATTGTGTTACTTTTCCTCTTTTTAACTTCTTTTTTAATTTTACCTGTTAGATGTCCTGTTTATTGTGTTCACTGCATACCTCTTTTTACTCTTGCATCTTTGTTTCATATTCTGAATGTTTTTTTTTAACCAATACAAATGATATGTGCCTTGGGAAAGTTTCACAATTTTGAAGTTGTCATTTTGTGGATGCTGATGTGTACTTTGTAATTCTATGTAGAATAGAGCTTTAACGCTCAGAGGCTCTAGATAAAACCTTTTACATTTTTGTGCCAACCCAAAACAAAGATGTTTAAATGTCTGGGACCTTTTATAATCTCTATTGGCCCCAAAGTTCTTTCATTTTGCAATGGCATCAACTCTAGATTTATGTTCCTGGAAGCTACTACCATTACTAGTCAATTTGTTTGGATTTCTATTCTGGAGAGTTTGTGTGACTATGCTGCAAGGTTGTAACTTATTTGTTGTTGTTGAAATAAAGGATAGAAAAACATTTCTTCTTGCACTTGTTAGTTCTTTTGTTAAATCAAATTTTAAATAAGTGTAAATTAGGGTAGTTGGGTCAAACAGATCAAGAATGAGGAAAGTCATGTTACATATAATTCAAAACATATTTTAAAATATATACTTTGTTCAGGCACAATTAAGATTCAGACTCAATCCTCCGATAAATTTCAGATATCATATTCTCATTTTCGTCAGAGTAGTACCTTTTCTTCAGAGTCCTGTACTTCCTTAGCATGTACAATGCCTCAATTTCTTTTACAACGTAGTTTCCACGACTTATAAGCTGTTCTATCTTCTCAGGATCAGTAACATCTTTATTCCTCATGAAAGCAGTTTTAAGACGCGGCCTGAAGTAGTCCCAGCCCAATGGGTATTCTCGACCGAGGTAAACTAACTGAAACAAAAACAGAGGTCATCGTTTCTGAAGAAAATCAGAACAATTAGCGATAATACAAAATACTGGAGATACACACCGTTTTATACAGATTTATTACTTGAGTACGTTGCCCCATTTTGTGAAGGGCGACTTCCTGACGAGAACAAAAACAAGAGAAAACTGTAAAAGGATATCCATGTTACAATTGTGTGTTATGTGACATTGTGTACCCTTAATCTCACAAATGGTGTTATGACACTTCAGCTGCATAATTCTAATACGAAATTTTTGTTGGATCACCTATCTAACCATGATCAAGATTAATTTAAATTAAAAATATAAGTGGATAGGTAAACAACGTAATATTTGACAACTAACCTTTGAACTGTGCACGATTGTGGTTGTCCGAATTATCTGACTGATCAGTTGTCTGCTTGTTTGTGTTTATATTTTACGTACAATTTCTCATTTTTTGTGAGGCAGAGCCTTTTGACAGCTTTTGTTTAAATCTTACGGTGTTTGAAATGGTCCAGAAGGCGGTGAAGTTAAAGTTGTGACGAGAGGTGTGAAAAATTACATGAGAAAAAGTTTTCTAAATTTATTGCGTAGTATTTTTGTTTATTTGTCATGTGTAACTAATTGTGTTTTCTTGAAATTTGCTAAGGGAAAACACGAAGTACTGTTTCATCTAGTCTTAACCATCAACAAACAGCTAATAATTATCACTTCTCAGTCCTGGGAAAAAAAATGGTTGCTTTAAAAGAGAGCTAGTAAGTAGTTAATAACTTGATATTTAACTGTCTTAACTTTGTCAGTCTTTTCCTGAAATCTTGGAGAGCTGACTCGTGTTCCTTATGTATTGTCATTTGCGTGCTGCCTAAGTGTATTGAGCAGATCCCCAAGGTCAGGTTATGGCAGCATACTAGAGCAGTGCTAAGTTAACAATCATGTGTTCGTTTGTTTTGATTCGGTTTTCTCTCTGATCTTATAACAAAAGATATTAAACATTTAGGTAGTTGTATCTATTGAATAACTGTTTAGCTTGCCTGACTTGAAGGCCCTATCAAATGAACTCATTCTTTCACATATTTTACTTGCTCCTCACATGGTCTGCTTTCAAAACCTTCCTTTTCTTGTCTTCATTTTGGCACCAGTCCATTTTGTGCTGTACTTGCCAGTTATTTTAGGGTTCAGGTCATTCTGAACTACTTCAGTTTGACAGAGTAAGCGTCCTAGAGTATTTTTTACTATGAAGTCATTACTGACATTATTCTCCAACTCATTTTATTCTACGTAAATATATAAGATTTAGTGCCTACTGCTTTCAGTCCTATGTAATATGTATTTAATGTAATATGTAACAGAGTTCATTTTCACCAGGTGATTCTCCTCATATTAATTTAGCCCTCAAAATTTTTGTATTACAGTTGACACCTGCATCGTGGGATACTAAAATCTCAAATTCATTAACATGGGTCAAAAGGAAAAGGTTATTATATGTCTGTTCACTATTTGCATTATAGCTCATTGTTATTTTTGCCTATTTTCTGGTTCAGGAGTAAATTTTCTAAATCTGTCCCTTTAAGATATTTTAAAAGTTATTTTTCAATTTTTAATGCCATATGCCCTAGGTCAAGAACATTTTTTACTTAGTTCAAATCTTCAAAATCCGTTCAACCATATTATGGGATATCATACCATAAAATTATCAAAGTTAAACTTTTTCCATTTTGTTCAACTCTTAAAAAATAATGACATTTGTATAAAGGGAGCAACTTTTTCTCATTTTCCAACCTGAACAGCACTGACACTTTTTTTTTTCCCACCCTACTCAGCCAGATTGCACAAAGCTTTAAATTTTATACTGCTTCTGTTCTCTGTCCTAATGTGTCTCACTTATATCCAAGTTTTGGCATAGAAGTCAAAAGTATGTTTGTGTTTGTGTGTCAATTTTGTCAAAATCAAAAGTGTTGTAGGACTTTACAACTGGTTTGTGGTTTGGTTTAGTTCCACAACTCCCAAAAGGCTTTTTAAAAAAAGTAGGACTTTTTGTGCACCATTGGCTTTCAGATTTGTTTTCTGTGTGACTTGTATTTTGTAGAACCAATATTTGAACTTTTGATCTGAGACTGTAATATTTTGAACTTGAGTAATGTGCTTTTCTTTTTCTTTTTTGTTGGTATTTTTCAGTTGCAAGTCTGGTGCATGAGCTTCTCGTAGTCACACATATCACCGACCATAATATTAATTTCTACCTGTCCACTGCTGCCGCCACTGGTTGATGGCCGGCTACCTGAATCACTCCATCTCGCTCATGTCCGGTGATGGTCCCTCAATTCTGAACGGATCTGGTGACTCATCCCGGCTCAACATGCGCGAATCTTCACCCCTCCAGATCTTTGTGAAGGCAAAGAAGAAGATAAATGATATTTTCATTGAAATTGAGGATTATGTTAAAGACACAGTCCGATTTACAAAAGGTACTTAAATGGTTTACTAAGTACAGCAATCAATGAAATTTCTGTCTAGGTATCCAATTTATTCAATCTGTCTGCTTCATTTAGCACTTCAAGAAAAAAATAGTATTTTAGAGGCAACTCAAGCTGAACAAGTTGCAGGATATGTTCAGAAAGTCCAAGGTATAAGGGATGTGTTAACTCGTGACCACATGAAAGTGGCATTTTTTGGCAGGTAAGTTTTTTTTGTGATTTTTGAGGTGTGTGTTTGTTTGATTATTATTTTACTAGTTTTTCCTTTTGCCTTTTTTTTTTTTTTTTTTTTGTCAGAACGAGCAATGGAAAGAGTACAGTTATAAATGCTATGCTGAGGGAGAAGATTCTTCCTAGTGGCATAGGGCATACCACAAATTGCTTTTTGCAAGTTGAAGGCTCAGAGAATGGGGATGCTTACCTGGTTGCTGAAGGGTCAAGTGAAAAGTTGAATGTCAAGGTATTTTTTTGTGTTATGTGTGCAGGGTAATTATTGAAAAAGTACTTTCTCTTTCTTGTGTCTTACTTATCTTTTATTTGTTTAAATTATTTCACAGTCTGTCAAACAACTAGCTCATGCTCTTTGCAAGGAAAAGCTCAATGAAAGTACTTTAGTTCGTATATTTTGGCCGAAAGAAAAATGCCAATTACTAAGGGATGATGTTGTCCTGGTAGACTCCCCTGGCATAGACGTATCACCTAATCTTGATGATTGGATTGACAAGCATTGTATTGATGCTGATGTATTTGTGCTAGTTGCCAACTCTGAAAGTACTCTCATGGTTACGGTATGTGAAACTTTGCCTTCAGCTCAGTATTTGTTCTGAGGACTTGCACTGATCCACAATAATCTTCAACAGGAGAAAAGTTTCTTCCACAAAGTGTCCACTCGCTTATCCAAGCCAAATATTTTTATTTTGAACAATCGATGGGATGCATCAGCCTCTGAGCCAGATATGCTTGACCAGGTAAGAATTGTAACCGTATGTCTCTTACACACTATAATTCCTAAAGTAGCATTGTATTACATTGTTGTTTTAGATCTATCATTGAGCCATTCAACAATACTGATCTGTTAGTCTATTTTCCTCAGTTAACTGTTCTGTTGTTGTAACCTATTAAGCCTACACCTTTAGAATGCTCATTTTTTTTTTCATTGTATTTTTTGGGAACTAAATTCACTGTTGTCCTTTTCCCAAGTATCTTATCTTAACTCAACACACTCACTATAAACTAACATAATTTGTTTGTTTGTTGTTGCTCTTCCTTAAGACTCTCAATGTGACCAATGAGGTAAGAATTTGTGTAAAAATGTACCACTTACGCATATATAAACTGTATTTTCAGAAACTGCTTCTTACATCTCATTCAAAACTACAGTCCCCTTTTCTTTTCTCTTCATCATTATTGTTTAATGTAATATATATGTTCTCTAATGTTTAGCCCAAATGTTTAAAATTTGCTAGTGCTTCATTTATTGTATAATTTGCCTTTTTTTTTAAAAAAATAATCTTGGATGCTTTGTATTTCTGGTGCTCCGTGAGGCCACTGTAGTTTGTTTGCCTTGTAGCAGAATCATTTACTGTAAGTTTAATTTATAATCCATGGAAACTTTCCTTTACAGGTCCGCGCTCAACATTTGGAAAGAGCAGTGGAATTTTTGGTGAAGGAATTAAAAGTTTGTTCCCAAAAAGAGGCACAGGAACGAATTTTCTTTGTGTCTGCCAAAGAAGTTTTACAAGCCCGATTGCATGAGCTGGATGGTCTACCTGCTCACAGTTAGTTAACTTGCATATTGAATGTTACTCTTCCTGTGTCATCTGTTCTGAAATATGACATTCATTTCATTTCAGCTGGTGCATTGGCTGATGGTTTCCCAAACCGATACTTTGAATTCCAAGATTTTGAGAGGAAGTTTGAAGAATGCATTTCAAAATCAGCTGTGAAGACAAAGTTTGATCAACATTCACAGAGAGGCAAACTCATAGCAACGTAAGGTTTAATCTATTAAGAAAATTAAATTCATCACAAAACTTTTTAATTATTTACCTTAATTACTTGTTATAGCGAAATCCGAAAAATTATGTCAGATATATATGATGAAGCCCAAAAGTTAAAGGAAGCAAAATGCAAGGCAAGGAAGGAAATGCGGGACAAACTGCATTTCACTGAACAGCAACTGGATAGATTAACTCATGAAATGAAGGATAAAATCCATGAAATGGTTGATGATGTTGAGCAACGAGTGAGCAAAGCTCTCAGTGAAGAAATACGACGCTTGTCTACCCTTGTTGATGAGTTTTGTGTGCCATTTCACTCTGAGCCTTTGGTGTTGAATGTCTATAAGAAAGAACTTCACAGTCATGTTGAAAATGGCTTAGGCAGTAATCTACGCGCCAGACTCTCAACTGCACTGGCCATGAATATAGAAAACAACCAGCGTGAAATGACAGGTTGGAACATTACTAAGTTACCAGAGATTTCTGTAATCCATCATTATTTGCTAATTTTTTATTTGCCCTAAATATAACTTTACAGAGCGCATGGCATCATTGTTACCCCCTGAAAAAACACAATTGCTTGTTAGTGTGTTGCCTCGTCGAGAACCATTTGAAATTCTTTATCGTCTAAATTGTGATAATTTGTGTGCGGACTTCAAAGAAAATCTGGAATTTCGCTTTTCATGGGGAATTACTGCTCTTATCAGCCGATTCTTGGGCAAAGATGGTCACAAGGTAGCCCTTGCTAACTACCCCTCTCATGTAAGTTTGGAAGTATAATAGATGATTGCTATTTGGTAGTACTTCTTGTTGTACCATTTAATTTTATATTCTCTCTACATTTTAGATTGGCTCTGGACTTATGTCACCAAATGATTCTGTAGACAGTAACATGGTGGCTTATGGCTCTGGTAGTTCCTCCATATCTCGTATTGATGATTGGTCTATTCCATCAAGGATTGCCCTTGCCTCAATTGGCTCACAGGGAACAATGGGAGGGCTAGTTATTGCTGGATTTGTGAGTCTCTATAGTGCTAAATATTCTTTTAGATTGTTTTGTTTTATTTTTTTTTCATGCAATGTTTTTATTTTAGATGCTAAAAACCGTAGGGTGGCGAGTAATTGTGGTTACGGGTGCTGTGTATGGTTGCCTCTATCTCTATGAGCGCATGACATGGACCAATAAAGCCAAGGAGCGTAATTTCAAACGCCAATATGTGGAGCATGCCACCCGTAAACTTAGGCTAATTGTTGATTTGACATCTGCCAACTGCAGTCATCAGGTTCAACAGTAAGTGATTAATTTGGTTCTCATCTCCTTTTCAGGGAACTTCTAGCATCCTTCTTTAAGTTTAATATAACTGTAATTGTATTTTTTCCTTTTGCTTTCAAATAGGGAACTGTCAAGCACATTTGCTCGTTTGTGCCACTTGGTTGATGAAACAAGTAAAGACATGGATATAGAGCTGAAAAAGTTGGACTCAGAAGTTCTTACTTTAGAAGAGGCTGCCAGCTCTGCTAAAGTATTACGAAACAAAGCAAATTATGTCACAAATGAATTAGAAATGTTTGATGATATGTACCTCAAAACGGACAATTAACTGTACTTCAAATGCTGTCTTGAAACCACTGATTAATCAATCATTTTGTAGTAGTTCAATTTAGTGATATGTAACATGAAGGAAATTGAAACAATTAACTTTTGTCAGCACCCCATGCCTCTTCTCTACCATTCTTTTTGATCTACTTTTTTTCTCCTTTTGTTTTAAGTTGTTAGCTGTTGATAAAATGTAATCAATTTAATACCCCATGCCTTTTGTTTGGGATTGTGACCTACTGTGCCCCTTAGATTTTAGAACCTATTGTCAATAGGGATTATTGTTTTCTGTGATGTTTTAGGATTTAGCTTGATTTTTTTTTTCTGGAAAGAACATACCCTGTTGCTTTTCTTCTCATTGGCCTCTATATGAACTGCATTATTTTATTGATTTAAACAGTTATTGTGTCTATGATTAATCTATATTTCTGTCCTTTTGCAATTAAGAGTTGGTAGAGAGCAGATTACTCCTCTTTTGAAATGTCCCCTATCAAATTCTCCATGTTAAATTTGATTGAATACAGCTCATGGCTGACCTTAGTGTTTCATCTCATGTTGAAGATAAAGTGATTGAGTGGTTTTTAGTACCTTCATGGACATGTTAAAGTAGTCACTATTGTTTATCATGTTCGTTTTTGTTTTGTATTATGAGATATGATAATTAAACTTGTTATGTGACAATTTGAACAAGAGGCAGGACTCATTTTTCAACATTCTACATTGTTTCACCAATTGCATGGAACTAATCTTTTATTTCTACTTCAAAAATATATGAGCTTAAGTAAGAGTAACACGAAGATCAGCAACAACTTCCAATTTTCTGAAGCTGCTCAAACACTTAGATAGATTTTAAAAATACTTCAACAGTTTTTAAAAAAAATATGTATGAACAAGAGTAGAAAATAAAAACCACTGGTTTAAAGTCAAAGTGAGCAACATCATGAATTATACATTTTCATTACCAAAGAACAACAATAAAGCCATTGCTAAGAAAAATCTATCGGTTACTTAAATGTTCTGAGAACTCGACTTAAGATCTGCAGGAATCAAAAGATAAAAATTCTAGAGAAAAACAAGACAACTTTGTTTCAAAAATAGAAGTTGTAATGACAACCTGAGGCTATAAGATAGAGCAGCAGGTCACAAAGACAGAAGTACAAATGAGGAGACAAGTTATTTTAGTTCTAAAAATCTTAGATCAGCATCAAGTTACAGAATTTGAGAACACTGCTCTCTACACCTAGACAAAATTGCTGTGCGTAACAGTTCTACAGATTCCTGAGGAAAATATACTATCTCCAGAATAACAGTATGTTAACGGCATACTGCAAAACAAACTGTATAGAAGTTTGATAGACTAGATCTACAAAGCACAGCTCAAAAAACAGACACAATTTTTCAACTTGTTCACTGCTAGATCTGAGTGTTCTATTCATAACCATCAGAAAATTGTAGAAAATAGCTAGGATCAGCAAAGGCATTGCTGTTAATATACATAACAAAAATAATGACCTAATTCTTGTATAAATTAAAAATAAATATACTAATAGTTTTTTACATTCCACATTCTTTAACTGAAGTCATACATCTGACAAACTAAATGGTTAAAAATAGAGAAAGAAAAAAAGCGAAACAGAGGCAAAGAATAGATAAAAGAAAGTAAAATTTACCAGAATGGTTTTACTACATATTACAGTAAATTTCTGCACATTAGAGCTGAAACCTATTCTACGGAGTTCAAAGAATGGGGAATGCTTTGGAAATGTGTGATGTGCAATGGTCTTGTAAAATTACTGTAGGTGTGTTTGTAAAACACTACAAAAAAGGATTCCAATAAATCAATGGCAAATAAAGAAGAAGAAAAGAAAGGAAGATGCAGAGGATACAGACTCAGCCCAAAAACTAGAGTGAATTTTTGAAAAGTGTCACAGATTAGGAAATAGGAACTTCAATAAGCGCAATACTCATAAAATACCAAATTTAAAATACCATTGTGTTCAAACACAAAAGGTGACAATATCACTACATTTCTTTCAATATTATGAAGAGGCCAAAGAAAAAATTATAATTTTATTGAGATTGGAAAATCTTCTAATTACCAACCCTATAACTAGAACCCACCTACAACAGGAGACTTAGATAGAAACAGACATCAAGATAAGCTTTCAACAAGTATCAGCACAAAGATAACAGACATCAGGAGTCATAATATTGTCCTGCTTTTAGGCACACACCTCTTTCACATTACATGAGTCTTTCAAAATGCTTTCCTCACGGCTCAATACAATCAGCAAGTACAGTACTGTACTAAAATCCAGATAATTTGTAACACAACAAAATAAACACTCTCCAAAATATGGACAAACAGGAAGAGATGAATGGATGTAATGAGTGTCACATGAAATTAACTACCAAACCAGTTTATCACAGCTGTGGTTAACAGATAGGTGTAGACCTATCACTTTACATGCATATAGTAATACCTATCCATACCAGTATTTGAATTAATAATCAATGGCCCATTCATTTTCTTGCAAGAAAGTATCTACAACTTCTTTCATGACAAAATTGGGAATTAATTGGTCCTGAGTTAGTTTTACTCTTGTAACAGGGTCAAAGTGTCCAACTCTCTGTAACAAATGGAAATAACTCTGGTTAGGTCATGGTACATGTGAAGCACTTACAGTTAAAAACTTAGAACTAAAAATGGCCCAAATCTCTTTTTAGCATGAGAATGGTTTTACCTGCAAATGTTCTTCTATGTCTTTTCTTTCATAGGTTATTCCACTAGGTGTAATTACCGGTTCGCTTAGAATTTCAAAACTGATTTTTCCACATAGATGGTCAGGAACCTCACGTTTCTGAAAATTGAGGAGGGAAATGAACGACCATACCTTCAAAATGGGATGAAAATACCAAAGTAAAAAAGTAAATAAACCACAACAGATACTCACGCGTCTTCTTTCATCTACTTTGGCAAATAGTGAGTGTAATTCGCTGGAGTTATTTTCCTAGAGAAAAACAGGAACATGAAACTGTTCTATGATATCTAAATAACTACAGGTAATAATTGGCTAAAAAGAGTACCATATCATAGCATCAGTACTTACACACTGTCTTTCTAATTCCTCTACTTTTGATTGTACTTCTGTCTCTGAGAGGCCAGAGGAGCTACGTACTTCTTTCACTTGTCTCTGTGTATCCTCAGCCATAAGACGATTCAAATACGACTGCAAAATGCATTTTAAAGGTTATTTTGGCTCATATTTGATAAAAAGAGTTGACTTAATTGCAGAATAAACAAGTAGATTTTTTAAAAAGTACCAGTAATTCTATTTCTTGCGCAATTCTTTTCTCCTCCTTCAGGTTCCAACGTTTTTTTCTAGCAGAGCGTAATTGGCTTGCTATTTCATCTCCGAAGTTTAATTTTTGCTCTTTTGCCAAATCATTAGCTGAAAATAGAAGGAAACAAATACAGGGAGGTAATTGTTTTCATTACAATAAAAGTACTTGTGGTCAATAATATGGGAGGGGTTTTGCTCTTACCTCTCTGCAAATGCTTTATTGCTTCATCATAGTAATCCATTTCTGATAGAGCCTGTCCTAGAAAAAAGTGACCCTTAACTAGAGTTGAATCCACATCTAGAGCTCTTCGACTGTCTTGACATGCAGCTTCCCATCGCTTTAATTTAAGATGACACAGAGCTCGGTTGGTAAAGTATGTTGCCATTGTAGGGTTTTTAATCTAAAATGAAAGAGCAGGAGGTAATATGTTTCAAGCAATAAAGTTACATAGCAGTATCTTCAAAGTCTAAAGATGCTGTGCAGTACAATTAACTATTCAAAATTCAGATGGAAAAACTAGAGAATCCATACAATAAAAATAATAGTATCAAAATAATTGGTAGTTCAATGATTGAATGAAAATATTGACAAACAAGGTCTAGAATGATGCACTCACAATGGCTTTAGTATAGCAGCTGACCGCATCGTCATACTTTCTCTGCTCAAATAGCCTGTTCCCTTGCTCTTTGAGCTCAATGTCTGTTAAATTCGCGGTGGAATACGTGTATTTATTACTCATCGCGATCAAACTGAATACTTCCAACAGCAAATAAACAAAGCGTATGCAAGGCTAGAGGAGGCCACAACAATCGTCAGCTGTTTACGTGACGCACACTAGTCGAAATCGAAATCGTTTCTGCGAACGACTTCGACCACCAGTAGAAGCTGGCGGTCGATTTGAATTCACAATACTAGTGAGCATCATTTGATGTGATGCAATGGCCTCGCCAAAGGCGTCAGTGTCAGTTTTTTTTTTTCATTTAGTGTATACCCAGCATCCAGCCTTCCGAGCGGAGAGAAAAGCATGGGCTGCATAGTAGTTTCTAGTAGTGGAAGTAGGCCTTTCGGTCTTCGTCACGATCATGACACTGGGCGCGTTGCCGCTCCCGACGGCAAAGCAGATACGGACGGAGCTCGAGCAGAGTACCGTCTTGGTGCTGGAACCTCGAGGATCACAGACACGGTGTCCTTGTCGTGGCGAGGCGGTGGCTCCAGGCTGTAGATGGGTTCGGGGGGGAGGGGGGGGGGGGTTGCCTGGATGCGAGGTGTGGGGGGCGCTAGGGTGGTGGCCGCACCATGGGCGCACCGCACGGAGCATGGCACAGCGTGGTGTAGTAGCTCGTCTTATCTGCGCATGACAAATCACCTCTATCTGACACCGCATCCAGCCAGCACGACTACTCTCTTCACCCCTTCACCCACTCCACCCCCTTCATGTGCCTCCCCCCCCCCTCTCTCTCCCCACCCAGGCGCTCTCTGTCCCCACACCACCACCTCCTCCTATCTCTGTAAGCTTTCCATGTCCAGCGTGTAACATTGTGGCCCATCAACAAAACAAAAGGAAACCCTAAAAGAAAAGGGAAAATAACAGGGGGAAGGACGAATGGCAGAGCACCTAAAAGTAAAGGCTGACAAAATATTGAAAGAGAAACGTTTTGTAGGGGTTTGTAAAACACGACGATAGCTCGACACACGGCGCTAAAACTGTAGTCTACCTACCCGACGCAAAACGACAGGCAACATTAATTTTTAAAATTGCTAGACATTCATAGCAGGGTGCGTCGATTTCGGATCCAATCGGTGACCGTTACAAATGCTCTTCCAACCAGTCTCCCTTTCTATCCCGCTCTCACTCCCCCTTTAAAAATGAATCGAGTGCGTTGCGAGTGCGCTGCGAGGGCGAGGTAAGGGCGAGGCGAGAGCGTGGCGAGTGCGCGGACGAGTGCAACGCGGGTGCGACGGCAGTGCGATGCGAGTGCGCAGGCGAGTGCAAAGCGAGTGCGATGTGAGGGCGCGGCGCGAGTGCAGCCCGAGTGCAGCCC